AGGACCGTACGTTTTTCCCTTGTTAATAAACCGTTTGACAATATTAATCAAACATTTACAGCTGTCTTTGAGGGTTTATATACACATAGGACCGTACGTTTTTCCCTTGTTAATAAACCGTTTGACAATATTAATCACAAACATTTACAGCTGTCTTCGAGGGTTTATATACACATAGGACCGTACGTTTTTCCCTTGTTAATAAACCGTTTGACAATATTAATCAAACATCTACAGCTGTCTTTGAGGGTTTATATACACATAGGACCGTACGTTTTTCCCTTGTTAATAAACCGTTTGACAATAGTAATCAAACATTTACAGCTGTCTTCGAGGGTTTATATACACATAGGACTGTACGTTTTTCCCTTGTTAATAAACCGTTTGACAATATTAATCAAACATTTACAGCTGTCTTTGAGGGTTTATATTCACATAGGACCGTACGTACATATGAATATTTTATTGCACTTACATGGGTTACTTGTAAAAGTGTTTCTAACCATGAAAAACAGTAGTGTCAGATGATTTGTTTGGTGTTTCAAAGCTTCAAAAGACAAAAATCTACCCTTCATTACAGCCCTACAAAAGTGTAACAAGACCGTGTAGCTTTCACTTTCACACAAATGGATAAAAATCACTTTACCTCTGCCACGTTGATCTGAATTGATGCATAATCCTTGGCATGGATGATTCTGTTACTTGCTGAACTGTGAAAACAGGAGATGCTTTGTTAATTATAATCTTTACCTACAACCATGACACTAAAATATGTAAACAAGTCAGTAAGAATTCCTAACCTACAATGATTAACATTAAAGTAAGTTTATGTTACTCTAAAAAACCCATGAGTGTAATCAATGAAGAATGTTATATATAAACTACAATACACGACCAAGTAGGAAAATCTTCCAAATATTGGACCTTACAATAAGTCTTACATTTAAGCCAGATTAAAACAATGTCTCGCCAAACACCACATCTACACTTTTAATTCCTTGGGATGTTGTTTATAGTTGTAGTGATCACCATAAGTTACTATTTTTGTGTAATTAATATTAGCTATATAATGGTTTCATATATTCTATGACATTTGTTTAGTAACAACAGTTTTTGGTAATGATTTTCTTTGCTATTGTTGTATCTTTACCCTCTATATAGTATTATCTATATTTAACTTTCTAGAAGCTTACTGTGTTTCCTTTTTGGCTTTTACAGGTGTTTCATGAGACACTTAAACTTGTTCAGACACACCACATGTTGATTTTTGTAACAGTTACATTTTCATGAACAGTTCAGGTATTTTAATTTTTTTACTGGTTGTACTATGGGAAAATTACTGTTATGAATTCAACACAGTTTAAACAGTAGTACGTTGGATACAGATGTCACCGAGTTTCACCTAGTGGGTTTATGAACTTTCTTTGGTTAAATAACAGATTTAAAGTTATGTGACATGAAGTTTGCATTTCTTATGTTACAATAGTTCAAGCCAACAGTTAAAGTGCCCTAAGTAAGGTATATTATTTACTACATCAAATGTCATTACTTTTATTGATTTATTGTTTATTATTGTTTATTATTCTATTATTATAAAGGTTGTTTTTCATTCACTTGATATCTGTATTGTGGACTAATCAATCTCCTAAGCCAGCTGAACCTCGCAAGATATTATTGGGTTTACGGCTGAAAATATCATTACAGCAAGGGTACCCAACCAACGAAACAATACATCTTAAACTTTTTAAGCACTTAAGAAACAAAAATATTGTTTAATTAGCAATTCTGATTGCCAGGTTGATTGTTTCACACTAAGTGCATATATTCTCCACTTAGAAGTTAATATTAAGAATGCTTTCCAAAAACCAAGATCTTATCTGTATCACAATCATGTATTAAACTTGTACAATTCATTAAATAACTTCAAAGTAATGTAACAAGTTTAACAGCCTTGTGATAAATCAAACAAACTACATACATAAATAATTTTAATCAATGTAACAATACTAAATAACTACAATTACAATAGCACACTAATAATTGTAAATCAACTTCAACTTACTACACATGTGAATAGGATAGACATTTATAATTGTAGCAGAAAATATTATAGATGAATATAACATTCCCTAATTAAAGGCAAAAAAGTAACAACATTTAGACTACTAATCCAATATAAAACTACATAAAGTACGTAAATTCTACCAGACTAATGTTGGCATATTTTGTATTTAAGTTCTGATATAAACGAACAATAATTAGACAGTAACTGGTGTTTTGTTAGAATTGGTCTACATGAAATTCATTAAGACTTATGATGACAGTATCCAAACTTTTAATTTACAATTTAGAAAGAAACATTGATGTAGAATGATTGTACAAACTACAAATAAGTTTTTTACACCAAATCTGCTGGTGTAAAACTATGTATGTTTTACTACAATTTCTAACAAAAGTTGTTGTTTATACTCTTAGAAGCAAGTTATTTCAGAGGATGAAAAAAAAACAAGTTAATACTGCAAATTTCTTAAAAATCCAAACTTGATAACCATTTAAGACTTGTATTATAAAACAGTAAATTAACTTGTTTTTTAGAGACAACCTCATCAAAAGTACAACTATATATGCCCATAGTGACACCAACTTAGTAATGATTGTTGATGAACCCATACAAAAAACCATCATTTTGTGAAACACAAACAGTCCTGTTGGTTTATGAAAAAATTTAATTATTTGTAGGTTAACGCTTTTCCCAATGAAACCAGAATCTATCCACTTACAAAAAATTTAATTATTTGTAGGTTAACGCTTTTCCCAATGAAACCAGAATCTATCCACTTACAAAAAATTTAATTATTTGTAGGTTAACGCTTTTCCCAATGAAACCAGAATCTATCCACTTACAAAAAATTAAATTATTTGTAGGTTAACGCTTTTCCCAATGAAACCAGAATCTATCCACTTACAAAAAATTTAATTATTTGTAGGTTAACGCTTTTCCCAATGTAACCAGAATCTATCCACTTACAAAAGATTTAATTATACATATGGTCTTCGGTTGACCATTGCCAATGATGGCAGTTAAGTGAGAAAAATCATAACGCAAAACATCAAAACCTTTAAGTGGGACAAAGATCAAAACAAGAAATCTATATACGAATATCTTTCAGCCTCTATCTACAAAACCTTCAATAAATATGGTGTTCAAGTAGGCATGGGTACACAATTTTCTTGAACGGTGGGAGTTCAGCCTGTAAAATGGCACATATATAGAAAATATATATGTGTTGCATATTGAAGGCTTTTCACATTGAAAAGTGTGGGGCTTGAACCCCACCCCTGTATCTGCTGCTCTAGGTGAATCAGTGACCCTTCATCATCCCGAATTTCTAGTTCTATGTTTGTGCCACCACGAGGATTCGATATTATCTTGCACATGTATCTTATCTTTGTTATAAAGGATGTAAAAATATTTTGATGTTGATTAGCCAAATCCTCGGGATATGAAAACTCACTGAAAACAACCAACAGTTTATCATTAGCTCAAGTCCTCAGGTATTTACCACACTGAAGTTTATGTTTTCAGTTGTTTTTATACTTTATCAGAAACACTGACAATCATCAGCCAAAAACCCACACATGAATTAATCTATATGGCTACTCTATGAATAAATAAGTTTTCTGTTGTTGTTTTAATACAAGTAGAATTATTTGTGTTTTACTTATAAATGATGGTTTCATATACGTTCATCAACAGTCCTTATTGTGTTCTTATACTGGTGCCACTATAGACATTTCTCATTGGCTTCTACAACTTGGACATTACATTTGTGAATAACAATTAATTTACTGTTGTATAACACAATTGAAGTGTTGAAAATTTACTTATAAACTTTAATTTGAAATAGCTGTTCAATTCCATTTTTAAAATGTAATTTTAAAGACTGGAATTTAACTACTTTTAAAAAAATAACTGCAGCAATAGACTCTGTTGTGTTTTCGGTAACCTTTAAAAATAAATAACTTTACTGTTTAAAAATCCTACAGTTACAGATATATATATATATATATATTTTTTTAAGCAGAGTTATTTGGAGCAAATATTTACTTGCACATTATATTTATGTATATATATATATATATATATATATATATATATAATTATATGATTATCTAAGTTTATAATTGTGCATAAGTAAATTAAGTTGTACATGAAACTTTTGGACATACAAGTTACATAATAAAAATTCTATATTACTATTAATAATTCAGTAACAAAATAACATTCTAACAATGACCCATGCTCTTTCACATTTAAAATAATATTGTTTTCAAGTACGCCTACATTTTCACACACACAAGAAATTGTTAAAAGTTTTATTTAGGTCTAACACTTCTGTAAACTGAAAGATATACAGCGCTTTACTTGAACAAAATCACCGACTGAAACAAGTTTACGTTGGACGAAATTATCGTCAGTTTTGCTAAGCCTAACTATGTAAGCCTAAATTTTGTAATCTAAGTTGTAATCTTACCATTTACGTGGGACGTACAAGTCCACAAATTCTCCTGTGTCGTTCTGCATTGCTAGAAAATTGAAATATATATAAATGTGTATTTATTTCAAAACATTTCTATATATACAAAAAAAGTAAATTGAAATTAAGATTACACCAATTATACCTCTCGCTTACTCTTTATCACTCGCCACAAGGGAAAGAAAGAAAACGTGGCTTGCTGTACAACATATAGAAAAATACACTGCCATCTTGTGGTCGTACACCAATTTCGGACTTATTTATTTGATCCTTCGATGTCTAATAAACGTTTCTTTGCAAATATTCTAAACTTTATTTATTTTTTACAGTATCTTACTCTTTTAATCCATGTTTTTTTAGTACTAATATCCCACTAGTTTAGGCAACCTATGTCATATATCGCATGTTTTAATATCATTAATGTCTTCAGACAATCAGAGTTTTATTTTAATTTAATTTCGTGAATACTATAATGCATCTCTTTTTGTTATTTATTGCTCATTGTAAATATATGATAATCATACTAAGTTATTATACTAAAATAATCGATTGGATTTTGTAGTTGTGTTTATAAAATAGCTAGAGGCATAAGGAAGAACATTTCAATTGTACTCAATTTTTGCTTACACAGCAACGAACATTTGCTATGTTTATTGTGCTCTATCCAAGAGATTTTATTTAATTATTATATCTTCCGCTCCGCCCCTCCTCCCCGTGATAAGTCTGTATGCTTACAATATTAAAAATTGGGTTTCGATATCCCTGGTGGTGGGAAGAGCACAGATATCCCATTGTGTATCTTTGTGTTTAGTAACAAATGAAATTATATCATATGTGAAATGTACAAGTCAATTTAACAAAAGTTTACAACCTCGTGCATAAATAACCAGTATATAAGTAACAATCTCAAAAAAGTATGTTTTTCGCCAAAGGTTAAAAGGAAAAGCAGTTGTCGCAGCTTCTTGGCTGACTCTACTTATAAATTTATTTAGCCACGTATTCTAAAAGAAAAAAGTATTGATTAGATTCTTACAAAAACTGCATGTTATTTTGAAAGCATTCTTATATATTTCTTTAAAATTCCCTTCCCCACCCCCAAAATTTACAAATATTATTAAAATAGTTTTTAAAAACAACTTACAAGCTGTATATGTAAAATGTTTAAAACATTTTGGAAGCCAAGATTAAAACGTAAACACAATTCTTTATCAGCATACATATCCGTCAGTGGCCATAGTGTGAATTAAAATTATAAGAGCCTTAAACACCCTCAAGACAGATAATAAAATTTTAACATCTTCAAAACAGATAGTAAAAAATACGAACTTGAACTTCCCTCAAAAAATATCTTAATATCGTTAAATAACACGACAATATTTTAACATCCCCAAGATATATGTCATTGTTTTAAATAGCCCCAAAAAATATGATTTTGAATACCCTCAATACATATACATTTTATACACTTAACTTGAGTTTCGGTAGCTGTTTTCTTGCAAAGAGGGTGTTTGTAACATCTTTTAATGAAGAGGATGTTTTCTTGAAACGGGTGTTTGTAACATCTCTCAATGAAAAGGAAGTTTTATTGAAACGTGGTGTTTGTAACATCTCTTAATGAAAAGGATATAGTCTGTGAAACAGTATGTTTGTAACATCTTTCAATGAAGATGATATTGTGTCATTTCCAGCTGAGGTTAGACATTTAAGAGCAGTATAGAATCAAATTTGTTAAAATATATTCACTATTTTATCTTCGCTCACATAAAACTAATTTTCTATTAAAATTATCCAAGAAGTGGTGATAAAAAAAAAGGTATTAAAAAGTCAACTACATGTTCAACATTATCAAAGAAAACATGGTATTTGCATTAACCGACAGTGAAGAAAAAATTGATTCCCCTAGTTCCCTATAAAATAAATAAGAAATTATTAAATTAAAAAATGGTATTGACCAAAACGACAGTAAATAAAAAAGTGGTGTAACAGAATCATAATATGTTTATAACGCAAGAGTTTTGATTGGTGGTTCGTGGCCTTCAAACACATGGTTTTCGTTTAAACTCCTCCATTTGTGCAAATCGTATTTATTTTGTTTGAAAGAAAAGTTCCTCTTCATTTAGAAACAACATTCACAATAAAAAGTTCAGTTCCCCCAACCATGACCTTTCAAGTCTTATATTTTAAGGAAGCTCTCTTACGGCAAACATCGAGTTCATGGGTGTTGATCATCGCCTTGAAGGACAGCATTATAATCGAAAATTATTTACTGAAACACTGAAATTAGTTTTAAATCAGGTAGATCTAAATCTCAGGTAACTTTGGGTGATATTACTCTCATTACATTTTGTATTCTGCATTTATGAATCAATTCATTGCAGTTACAAGGACTATTTATCTATAAATCTGTTTGAATTATTAGGACTATTTGCCTATTATTCTTGGGGTTACTAAGACTATTTTTCCATGATTTGTTTGAAATATTAGGACTATTTGCGTATTAATATGCTTGACTTACTAGGACTATTTAATTATAATTGTAGTTTGAATTATTAGAACTATTTGCCTATAAATTTGCTTGAATCACTAGAATTATTAGTCTATTATTTCTATGGAGCACCTAGGACTATTTGTCTATTAAATACGTGGAGTTAGTAGGACTATTTCTCTTATCACTTCCGCGGATCTATGCCCTCTGGTAGCTCAATGGAAGTTTGAGAACATGTAATGTTAAAATTCTAAACTCAACTCCTGTGCAGCTTGTTTAACAACAAACAAATAGGAAATGAATGTAATGTATATGTTTAATAACAGGTACTATATGTAAATGTCGTCGTTAGTCTTACTAATTTATAAAACAGGTACTTCACGTCAGTGTTATGACTAGCCTCACGCATTTATAAACTGTTACGTAACATGTTTAGTATCGTTGTTTGTATTGAATAAATAAATAAATATGTTGATCAACAGATGGCGCTCAGATAGAGCCAACGGAAATTCTCGAAGTGGGAAGAACTATCACCATAAATTAATTAATATCAGTATTTATCTTTTAAATAATGATTGAAAGTTAGGCTTCAACATCTCGCAGAGTGTTATCATTCATACGTAACCAATACCAGAAAGAACTACCATTAATGGTAATCTAAAAAAACAAGATTTTCTGTCGTACGGATATCCTATGTTACAGGAATGTATTCATTACGTAATATTTGTTCAACAAACCGATGATACCTGTAGTCCAACAAATGTTTAAGAATACCTTGTTCATATCACTTAAGTACTCGCAAGTGTGCCTGAGTATATTGTATTCACTTCAGATGAAGAATATTGTTAATTTCTGCCTTCCTTGGGAGTAATGATCTGTCTCCAGTCATCACCTTTTCTAACAGAACTGGAAGTCACTTGACGACAATGACCTTCTATGCTAACAGAGGATGTCCTAAATTTCCCACAACCTGTATATCTGCGCACGCACTGTTACGGGGGGAGGGGGGTGCAATGCCGCGTGTTGGACTCGTCCGGTAGAGTACTAGGAGTTTCCGTTCGGGCGACTCTAGATAAGTCGGTAGTATGTACGTTCCTGTAAAGATGCAAACAGTGATACTGAAGGCTTGTTGGATTCAGTTAATTATGAGTTCTCTATGTGACTTGACTTCTGATCCTAACACAAATTTTTATTTCATATAATTAGGCTTAATTAACAGTACGTTGTGATTAATTTTGTGTTTGGGACAGAGATTTTACGAATTTTCCAGATTTTTCCACAGTTTAATTAAGAGACTCTGGAACCTGATAAATGTCCGTCTCCCTCAGGGTGAGAGATTGAAACTTCTATACTGTCGTGACAGTACAGGTTCTGCTTATATAGAAGAGAATCCTTTTTCAAGTAACCAAAGTCACTTCCGACGCAAGAAGGAGAGATGAGTAAAGTCACTGGATTTGCTCAACACTTAGTCTCTTTTCTAGCCTTCTTGTTATGGGTAAGGGTTAACTTTCTTGATCTTATCTCCCCTACTGTGTGTGATAATATTCTAAGTGGTCGCTGTTGTTTATTTAGTATCATTTCAGTGAAGTACCACAGTGTGAATGGAGGAAAGAAACAAGAATATTAAGTAAACAATACCAGGTACCTCTGTAAGTAAACAATACCAGGTACCACTGTTAGTAAACAATGCCCGATTGATTGTAAACAGGATAGAAGGTTTGTAAGTTTGATTGTAAACAGGATAGAAAGTTTGTAAGTTTGATTGTAAACAGGATAGAAGGTTTGTAAGTTTGATTGTAAACAGGATAGAAGGTTTGTAAGTTTGATTGTAAACAGGATAGAAAGTTTGCAAGTTTGATTGTAAACAGGATAAAAAGTTTATAGATAGTTCGTGACATGTTTCTGATATCACTTCTAATGTTTTCATTAGTGTTTCTTATATGAATCTGTTAATTAACCTGTTTTATGACGTACACGTTGTTAAGCTCTTACGATCGACTTTGTATAATAATCAAAATGTTATTATTATTATTATATAATACAAGGGAGGATTAAATAAAGTTTTGGAAGTGCCTTGTCGTTCAGCATTAATTTACAGTTTCAATAAAAGTATGTATACATTTTCACGTTGTCTCTAAGGAAGTGACGTACTTCCGGTTTAAACAACACAACATACAATTTTCGAAATGCATTTCCTATTATAAACCACAGCTTATTTTAAATAAGAATACTTTTGTTAATAAACCAACGAAGGAGAAATATTTGTATGATACACCTGTTAAAAACCTCATACTGGGGGTTGGGTGCCCCAATTAGGGTTAAAAGGTACCCGTTGCACTACGAATTTTACATACAATTAGCCATGCGTACTAGCCTTATGACTGCTCTATTATTCATATAGAGAGAGGCGTGGTCGTATATGTCAACAGTTTCCTTTCTAGCCAGTTTCTGTAGGTAGCATTACGTTCTTATATTTTAATTTAGGTTTAATCTAGGTTCAGATTGAAGTTATATATTTAGCATTGATAATTAATTGTGTGGACATTTCTTCATAGATATTTGTTTTATACAAACCCCAAACTGGCGAACGAATTCACCACAAACGTTTTTTAGTTGTTTTTATTATCACTTCCATTCGTAACACAATATAAGGGTGTGTGTTTAGACGATTCCTGGAAATTCAGCAACGTGCTTTTCAAAACATAATCTTGCGTTTCTTAGGTTTTTCATGGATACATAAACTGGAATCCTGTTTAGTTTTGTTATTCTGTAACTAGAATAGATACACCAACTACAAAACTGTTCAGTTTTGTTATTCTGTAACTAAAATAGATACATCAAATACATTAAACAAGTTACAATAATTACCAGCTTGAGATAAACAAGTTACACTAATTATCAGCTTGAGATAAACAAGTTACAATAATTACCAGCTTGAAATAAACAAGTTACAATAATTAATAGTTTGAGATAAATAAGTTACAATAATTACCAGCTTGAAATAAACAAGTTACACTGATTACCAGCTTGAGATAAACAAGTTACAATAATTACCAGCTTGAGATAAACAAGGTACAATAATTACCAACTTGAGATAAACAAGTTACACTAATTATCAGCTTGAGATAAGCAAGTTACACTAATTACCAGCTTGAGATAAACAAGTTACACTGATTATCAGCTTGAAATAAACAAGTTACAATAATTACCAGCTTGAAATAAACAAGTTACACTAATTACCAGCTTGAGATAAACAAGTTACAATAATTACCAGCTTGAGATAAACAAGTTACAATAATTATCAGCTTGAGATAAGCAAGTTACAATAACTACCAACTTGAGATAAACAAGGTACATTAGCTCCGACACACATTTTAAAATGTTCCAGATTATCAGAATAAACCGATGCTGACAGGTATATGATAATCAGAAAATGAAGGTCCAACTCAACAGTAAAATATGTTTAAAGTCTCTTGCTTGTATATTTTTGACACCCCAAAGTACAATATGTTTTATACAAGTTAATTCCTTAAATGGGGGAGGGGTTTACCCAGTGTCCAGCGTGCCGCACTCCGGATCTACTGGTCCATCCTTCCCGTTACCGCACTATGGGATGGTTGATGCGTTATAAAAGTGACGGTCAAATCCCACTATTCATTCATACAAGAATATCTCAAGAGCTGGCGGTTGGTACTGTTGACTAGCTTGCCTTCGCTTTAGGCTATTAGTTCCAGATTAGGGACATAGACTCCTTGAGAAGCTTTGCAGAAATACCCAAAAATAAAATATTATCAGCGAAATTTTGTTTTTTTTGCTATTTCGATTATTTTCTTAGAGAATTAATGAATTCACATTTTATCTTATTCCACGTGCATATGGTGAACTTTGGCTCATAGGTCAATGAGGTAACGCACCATTAGTCTATTATCTAAGACGTTTACTTTTGCACCCTCAGACCGAAACCAAAACCATTCGACCAAAGTAGCAACAGAAAGTAAGAGCACATCGAACTTAAATGAAAACAATCACTCTACATTGTCAACTGTAAAACGGGGAGAATCTTTATTAGAATAACTATATTAATGTATTCAAAACAACGTGACAAATGAGAAGGCGTTAAGTGTAATGGATAAGTGATATCGCTAAATAGGCCCTGCATTTACAAACAAAACTCCCTGACCGTTTCGTGCCACTAACAGTGGAGTAACGCCATAACGTTGAAACTCGGGAATTACGCTCTGCTGATTTTCCATTAAAACGTTACGAAAGATTCCGTTGTATCAAAGGTTTTTAAAATATTCTGATGTCTGTCTGTCGTAACATCGTAACATCTATATTTCTGATCTATTTGATAAATTAAGTATTACACACACACACACTAATGTTGTTATTTTTTATTTCCCCAACTCTTCTGTTGATATCAATATAATTAATGATATTAGATAGTTATTAGGTTGGTCGTTATTAATCATTATTTGTTGACTGTTTATTTTTGTCTCTAACTATTCTGTTGATATCAATATAATCAATGATACTAGAGAGTCACTAGGTTGGTCGTCATTAATCATTATTTGTTGACTGTTTATTTTTGTCCCTAACTATCTAGTATCATTGATTATATTGATATCAACAGAAGAGTCACTAGGTTGGTCGTCATTAATCATTATTTGTTGACTGTTTATTTTTGTCCCCAACTGTTCTGTTGATATCAATATAATCAATGACACTAGAGAGTCACTAGATTGGTCGTCATTAATCATTATTTGTTGACTGTTTATTTTTGTCCCCAACTGTTCTGTTGATATCAATATAATCAATGATACTTGAGAGTTATTAGGTTAGTCGTCATTAATCATTATTTGTTGACTGTTTAGTTTTGTCCCTAACTCTTCTGTTGATATCAATATAATCAATGATACTAGAGAGTCACTAGGTTGGTCGTCATTAATCATTATTTGTTGACTGTTTATTTTTCTCCCCAACTCTTCTGTTGATATCAATATAATCAATGATACTAGAGAGTTATTAGGTTGGTCGTCATTAATCATTATTTCTTGACTGTTTATTTTTGTCCCCAACTGTTCTGTTGATATCAATATAATCAATGATACTAGAGAGTCACTAGGTTAGTCGTCATTAATCATTATTTGTTGACTGTTTAGTTTTGTCCCTAACTATTCTGTTGATATCAATATAATCAATGATACTAGAGAGTTATTAGGTTGGTCGTCATTAATCATTATTTGTTGACTGTTTATTTTTGTCCCCAACTGTTTAATTGATAACAGTATAATCAGCGACTATTCAGAGTTACTAGAGCAGTCGTCTGTGTTCATTGCTTGTTTTATATTTTAGGTACTAGGGGGCGTGATGATCGGATATATGCTATGGGTTCTTGGGACTTCTGCTGCATCAAGAGAGTTTTTCAGTGGAAAATTGGTAACTAAACGTTATTATTATTATAATTACTTCTTATTGTTTAATGTAATTATGTAAAGAATCTTTAATCACACTGACATACCGTCGACATTAGAATTTAGCTATTATCGTAATAAATAATTACATAATGATATATTATTATTATTTTATAATAGTCAGCCAATGAACAAAAATACCTTCTCCTTATTATTGTCTTATGAATATCTCTTTAAAACAATGAATAAAATGATCTCAATATGAATAACTGCAAATAACACGATGTAAATAGAGGCAATTGTTGAAAACATGAATAAAACAATATAAATATATATACAAGTGTAAATAAAACATGGAAGAAAATTGCCTAAACGTAAGCTATTTTTTCATCTATTAAAACAACTGAAGATAAAAAATGTTCCATTTTGCAGGTGTTTACGTACGTTACCCTCAGTCTCGGTGCCTTCCTGTTTGTAGGTGGTAAGTGTATTAGTATGATATTGTACAGAATAGCAGAAAACTTTTTGTGTGTCCAATAACGAAATATCAAATATATATGCAGTAAAATTTGACATTTTTGTCGTTACATGATTTAATTTATTCTAATATAGGAAAGCATCATTGGTTTTTGAGCTGATAATAGGTCGTCAAGAAATTAATGTCGACTTTTGGTTTGTTTGTTTGTTTGTTATGAATTTCGCGCAAAGTTACACGAGGGCTTTCTGCGCTAGCCGTCCCTAATTTAGCAGTGTAAGACTAGAGGGAAAGCAGCTAGTCATCACCACCCACCGACAACTCTTGGGCTACTTTTTTTACCAACAAATAGTGGGATTGACTGTCACATTATAACACCCCCACGGCTGAAAGGGTGAGCATGTTTGGTGGGACGGGGATTCGAACCAACGACCCTCAGATTGCGAGTCGAGCGCCTTAACCACCTGGCCTATTTGCTTGAAGAGATCATCAATTTTCAGGCCTACGACGCCAAACGAACTCGCAGAGATACGAGTCAATCATGTTACGATTGGTTCCACAATGTCGCTTGTGACGTCACTTAACCTCATTCTAAGTACTTTCAATTTCAGAAATGTAAATTGAAGTTTGGAGAATTGATTTTTATAAGGTGGGGAAAGAATGGGAAATTATTTTAATTTTTAATTAAATTTATTTTTTATTTAAATAAACATGTAATTAGATACTAATTAGTCGGACTTGAACTAAACGCACATAAACTGACGTAACCAAACAAAATAAAAAAGTATTTCATTTCTCCAAATTATAATTTATGTTTCTGAAATCAGCATTAAAAACTACATTCACAAATATATATTTCTTTTTGTTTGAACGGGATGCATGAAACAAAAAAAGATCCGATATAACAATCGTGACAATCAGACTACTAGATAGTTCTTTGTTACATCAGTTGATCCAACATCCAGGAGAATCAGACAACTAGTTAGTCCAGTGTTACATCAGTTGATCCAATAACCAGGAGAATCAGACAACTAGTTAGTCCAGT